TAAAGAATAATTAAATATTTGCCCAGTGTTGATGCTGAGCTTCTAATAAAGTCCAGGGTTATTTCTCCTCAGTGTAGTAAAGCAAACTTCTGCTGTTTGTTATTGTATCTCTGTGAAGAACTTGAGGTAACTTGGCAAGCTCAGCCATCTTTTCCAGCTGTTACCAAAGCCAGGCTCAGGAAAGAAGGTATATGTATTAGTCTTCCAGGGAAGAAAATAGAGAGATGCAGAATCCTTCTTTAGCTCCAGTCATACACAGGTATGCCAAAGCATACTTCTGAAATCCCCAAGCACATTTACCTGACTGTCCCCATTCCCCAGCCACCATTGGTTATGGACCTCTGAATCTGGTTTGCCATTCAGAAAACCAGGTCCACATCCTCCCATCTGGCCTGAGCTCCAGGATCTGTCTTCAGCCTTGCTTTGTTGTAACTGCACACCTCACCTAATAAATCAGTCCCACACATCTGCTCATCTTAGTGTAGAATTTTGAAATGAGATTTGTACATTAGTTCCTACATAGAAATGTGTAGTGTACTAGACACCTCACAAAGTACATTATCTCCTTTTACCTTCAATCCTTAAAATAAGACAGAGTACCCCTTCTACAAGCGAGAAACCTGCAATCATCAGGGTTAAGCAGTCTTCCCAAATTTAAACACATTGTGAATGGGCAAAATTAAGATTGAAATCTGTACCTATCTGACATCCAAAGTTGATGTTTTCTATTCTGTACTGTCTTGGTAGATGTGTAATGACTTAGAATATTGTTATAATCATATTTTACTCATATTTACTTCAAAGAATAATTCCAAATTCTCTGTCAAGGGGCTGAGGAAGGGCGGGAAGATCCAGCCTACAGCCTATAAACTCATTGCATACATGATAGAGCAAACATGTTTCATAAGTTTCTCATTAGCTGCCCATAGCCATCTTCAGAACTGATAATTTTGTAGGGCCCATAAATGATGTTATAAATATCCAATAGCCTGTATAGGAAGAAAGATTCCCTACCCCTGGAAATGATAGCTATATAAACAGAGAATGAAAGGTAGAATGATGATGAGTTCCTTGACAGTGGCGGAGGCACGGGAGAAGCAGGACACGCATCCACCCGGAAGGCTCACAGAGGGCTCACTGCATTACCAGCCTCTCAGCTAGACTTGAACACCTGGAAGGCTCACAGAGGGCTCACTGCATTACCAGCCTCTCGGCTAGACTTGAACACCTGGAAGGCTCACAGAGGGCTCACTGTGCTACCAGCCTCTTGGCTAGACTTGAACACCTGGAAGGCTCACAGAGGGTTCACTGTGCTACCAGCCTCTCGGCTAGACTTGAACACCTGGAAGGCTCACAGAGGGTTCACTGTGCTACCAGCCTCTCGGCTAGACTTGAACACCTGGAAGGCTCACAGAGGGCTCACTGTGCTACCAGCCTCTAGGCTAGACTTGAACACCCGGAAGGCTCACAGAGGGCTCACTGCATTACCAGCCTCTCGGCCAGACTTGAACACCTGGAAGGCTCACAGAGGGCTCACTGCATTACCAGCCTCT